TTCTTCTTCTTCTTCATCTTCTTTCTATTTTTTCTTTTTTCTTTTGTAGCTTTGGTTAAAGGATATGTCTCACTAGAAACTACTAGTACTAGTTTTCAAGCGAAATTTCTCTCAGCCATGAGGTAAAAAACATATTTTGCACTGGAAGAGGTCAAGATTTTTATCTCCAAGATTGATCTTTCCCCGATTGCGATCTCCATCAGATCCATCACAAATGTGCTACAGCAGTGGCGAGAGGTCTGCATGTCGCCAATAACGATAAACTCTCTCCACAAAATGTCACACACAAGGAACACTTTCGGCCGATTTCATTTCTGGTGTTACTTGTTTTTGAGTCACGTAGCTCTCAAAGAAAGAACGATGGCTTTCAAGCGGTTTCTCACATTTTAAACAGTCCAAATATTATTTCTACAATCGTTTCTCGTGCGTGTGATATGGATTTTCGTGTAGTGTCCTTCGAAGCTTAACTAAGCTGGCTAAAGTGCCTTTGAAGGTGAGACCTCATATTTAAAAGGTTGGCCACCATTAATTGGCAGAGAAAGAGAAACAGATTGTATAACATATTTATTTTTTCGCTTTTGATTTTTGCTTTTGTTTTTCCTTCATCTGTAAACTCATCGACGGAGTACCGGTGCTAAAGAGTGACTTGTCATAACGGAGTGTCTGCAATAATTATTTTTACTAGAAATGTTATGTGGACATGAGTTTAGAAGGATGCGCTTATATCCTTCTCTTTCTCCCTCCTTCCCTCCCTCTCTCTCTCTCTCTCTCTCTCTCTCTCTCTCTCTCTCTCTCTCTCTCTCTCTATCTATCTATCTCTGTCTGTCTCCCCCATCTTTCTTGTCTTTCACTACTATCCAACACACACCCAAGGTCTCATCCACGAAGAGGTCTTCTATAGTCAGCCTTTACGTCTTTTCGATTAAACTGAGAGCTATTTCCTAACCAGTTTCGGTTTCTAAACATCCTACGTCTGGACTTAGAAGCAAGAATCTGAGAAAGGGAGATGACACCCCCAGAACACATTGGCAGCACTAAAACAGAAAACAGAAAACGGCTCGCGTTTCAACTAAATACTGCAAAGCTAGCTGTATTTTCCCTCAAAATCTCGAGGGAGAGGAAAAACCATTACCCCACATTGTCCACCCGTTCCTTTGAGGCCAGTCTGAAAAGACGACAAGGAACAATAGAAGACGGTATCTAGCCGGATGAATGGGTCTACCTCTGGACACAGACAGGTCCACACAGCGACTGATGAGTCTCTCAACACTAGAATGTGTCCATTCATTACCCTCCTACATTGCTGATTGCGATTTGCTCATTTCCGTCAACAACCTAGGACCGAAAGAAATCACGAAGAAAAAAAAAAAGGGACGACATTAATTTAATCGTAACAAAAATCAAGTTCTCCATTGAGGCCCCAGTCGATAGAGATTGTGTCGTTTGTGCTGCTGGGTTAGCCTGCCCTAAGCTGTTGGCCAAAAGATTATTTCAATGTTGTTATTTACATCGTACAAACAGTGTATTATGGAAAAAGAAGAATCTTTATTTTATTCACAGTATAGTTGGTCGCTTGTAAAGACATGGGGGCTAACCAAGATTTCGGAGGTTTCCAGAAATCTTGACCTACACCAAAAGTGGGCATTGCCCTACC